TTTTTTTTTTTTTTTTTTTTTTTGTGCTTGATTCATAAGGATTCAAATATGGTTACTAAGAACAATCTTAATGCAACCACAAAAAGTAACTTGAAATTTTCAAAAGATCATTATTCAAAGGATCAAGTCATTATCACAAAAACAAAATGTGAGCAAAATCTTCATGATTCATTTGCTTGTTTTATCTTTCTTGTTTTCCATATATTTTTTATAGAACTTTTCAATCAACTTTCCTTATCCTCTCTTTGCAACTTCCATTTCTTTCAAGCCAATGTTGCCCAAATATCGCATTTCCTTTTCTCTCATTCCATTGAGTCTATTATAACAGAAAGTTAGTTAGTAACATATAAGATATTTATATAAAATATTTGACAAAAATTAACTTGCAACAAAAAATTACACCTAATTGTTTAAGCATAATAGTTTTTTTGTACACTTTGATTTGAAGGATCAACAATGCAACTTATGATTTGATGGGTTCTGCTTGTATTCCTTGTGCTTGGAATGCGGGTTGCAAATGGTGTTGGTGGATGGTTGTACATGCACACCACATTTCCTACTAATTGTTGCATTGCAACTTAGTTTGACACCACTAGCACCTAAGCTAGTTTTAGTACCTTTGACACCTTAGATGCTTTATGGCCTAGTCACATAATTTGATTTCCATCCAAACTAAGCTAGTTATATAAAATAATAGAGAGTTGATCACTATATATTAAGCCTAAAATATTTAAGAAATGTGTAGAGATCCAATTACATATAAATTTTACATATCATATTTACTCAGTCACCAACCATTTAGTCTTACTAGGAAAAAAAAAAAGAATTGGGACCATTGCAAAGGCATTGTCAAAGTCTAACTAAACCAAACAATGAAAAAAACATTTCACACATGCACCTAAAAACTAAGAAAGTATTGTAGGGACTTAGATTTATCATTATCAAAAAAAGAAAAAAAATTATCAAGGTCAATTATAAACAACCACTACTAAAAATGGGGGCTTATTCGGTCAAGTATCTTGATAGAATAAGTAGGAATTTTGACAAAATAAGTAGGAATTTTGATAGAATAAGAAACAATTTGGTCAAGTAATTTGACCAAATTGTTGATCTAAATATCTATTGTCAGAAATAATAATTTAGATAAATTTCATTTTAACCAAAAATGATAGACAATTTCAGTCAAAATTTTGACCAAAAATCTTATTACAAAATCTTCTATTTTAGACTAATTCGGTCAAAATATTTGATTGAAATATTATGTTCAAATTAAAAAAAATTAATATATATGCCTAATTATATTATACATATAATTACTATTTTTATATAATTACAAAAGACATTTAATTAATATTTAAAAATCTATTTATTGTATCCAAATCCAAATATATCAAAATTTTAAATTGAATATTATATAACAAAAATCAAAATTCTATAAAAATATTTAAATTTAAGCTAAATGGTAGAGAGTTAATTACTTTTTTTTTTTTTAATTTCTCCATCCCTTAACACCAAGAAAGCATTAATCACAAATTACAAACTAAATGGGAAACTTAATGAAAAAGAAAAAATTATAAAATTTTAATGAAATATAAAAAATAAAAAACAAATAAGAGTACCAAATGAGATGCCTCCTTAAATTGCCCTTAATTTCTATTATAAAATCCTGCAAAAAATAAAATTGATATCAATATTAATTGAAACAAACTTGTAAATTGTAAAGGAAATAAGCTAATAAGATTAAAATTAAAGGAAGATAGAAAATGAAAGAAAAGGAAGGAATGTACGAGGAAAAGAGAGTGTGAGAAAATGGAATAAAGGCTGAGGGGAATGGATGAAAGAGGAGGGAAAGTGAATAAGAGAAGATGAGAAAAAGAAAGAAATGAAAGAAAATGATGGAAGTAAAAGAGAAATGAGGAGGGGAAGTAATTGAAAGGAAAAGAAAGATGAGAAAGATGAGTATGGAAGGTAGAATAAAGGGAAAACCAAAAGGAAAGAAGAAGGAAATGGGTAAAATACAGTTTGAAGTGTGTCACGCCCCAAAATCGGGAGCGAAACAGATGCCATACACTTGTGAGAGAATCTCACAAATGCACAAGGCTCGAAACTTGCTAAATTCATTGCTAACAGTTCACATAAACTTAGATCAATATTTCAAAATAAAATCTAGCTTACAAAAAATAATCTACAACTCAAAATCTACATCCAAAATACAATGGCTAGCCTTCTAGCTCGTCACTCCCTTTGGTTTCCCACATCTCGGGTCTCACTACTTGCCATGGTGGACGAGGAAAAACTCTGTGAGATAACTCAGTAAGTAAGAAGATAGATAGCCCTTACTTAAAACTTATAGCATGCCAATGAGTGTAATCAAGTATCAAGAAAAATGGGTACAAGTACAAGAATGAAATAGACATCTCCTTTATGGTTCATAGTTAGTGTATGTAAACCTCCCACTAGCGGGCACAAGATTTGCTAGTGTATAATCCCACTAACAGGATAACAAGTGTAACAATAATGAACCCGGTTCCATAGGTAACATGTTGACATGTGCTAGCATTTATAAACCTCCCACTAGTGGGCACAAGTATTACATGACCACATTGGAGACTAAAACAAGCTAGAAAGTACATTTCAAGTAAATTCAGGAAAACATGTATAATAGGGAGCAAGTAAGATATGTTAAAACTTTTATAAATAGGCTTGCTTAACCAACTGAAATCCAACTTGATAAAATAGGATTTAATCATGGTTGCTAAGCCAAAATAGACTTTTAATCCTGTCACCATCTCAAAATCAATAAAAGTCATGGTTCAAACTTACATTTTAAAATCAAGGATAAACCATAAATTTACTTGCCTCCCTTGTCGTTATACCATAAGCTAGAATTCAAGTCTCAAGGAGGTGAAGATGTCTTAGAACCTATTTCATGTCAAGAACAACATGATCACAACATGTCTCATTCAACTAAATTGGTTTTTAAGTCTAGCACCAAGTTCTAATTCAAGGGAACAATTTCTCCCTATCTCCTCTTGCCACTTCTACCCACCAAAACCTTACTAGCATATGTATATTAATTCACATGCATAGCCATATTTAAAAAAAAAATTCCAAATATGACAGCAGACATTCCAAAAATTTTCGGCAAGGAGCAACAAAATTTTGGTAAATGGCAAGAAATTCTAGGGA